CCCAGGTGTGGCCGGGCCTTCTCAGGGAGAAACAGATCTACCTGTGAGTTTGGGGCCTGCCCTGGCGAGTCTCCCGTGCAAAGGGGGGTGCTCCCTCCACTCTGCCTCCGTGGGGATGTGAGCCCCACCCCAGCATGAGGATGCATCTGTCCATAGATGCACTCGCTCTCAGGGCACTCACATGCACGCCTGCACACACACGCACACACAAACACACACACACACACACATGGGGACAGGCCCTGAAGGCCTGCTCTGCACCCCTGAGTTAGGTTCTGCAGGTTTTCTTCAGGTGCCTGCGGGTGACAGGGCCAGAGGAGGTGGCACGGAAGGAGCTCCGGGTCGCCAGCTCTCCTGGTTGACCCTCGCTGGGCCACTTTGCCTCCCTGGTTCTGTTTTCCCCTCCACAAGGCGGCAGAACAGAGTTTTTGCCAGCTATGTCCGATACCCACTCTGTGCCTGGACTTAGGGCCAGCTTCCTGAGCTCATGAAGCCATCCAGGACCCACGCTAAGGGGATCCATTCTTGTTTCATGCCCTGTCACTGCTATCCTGAATTTCTTGGTGCTGTTTTAAACACAAACACACACACACACGCACATGGGGACAGGCCCTGAAGGCCTGCTCTGCACCCCTGAGTTAGGTTCTGCAGGTTTTCTTCAGGTGCCTGCGGGTGACAGGGCCAGAGGAGGTGGCACGGAAGGAGCTCCGGGTCGCCAGCTCTCCTGGTTGACCCTCGCTGGGCCACTTTGCCTCCCTGGTTCTGTTTTCCCCTCCACAAGGCGGCAGAACAGAGTTTTTGCCAGCTATGTCCGATACCCACTCTGTGCCTGGACTTAGGGCCAGCTTCCTGAGCTCATGAAACCATCCAGGACCCACGCTAAGGGGATCCATTCTTGTTTCATGCCCTGTCACTGCTATCCTGAATTTCTTGGTGCTGTTTTAACCAAGGACCCTAATTTCCCTTTTTGGAAATTACCCAGCCCGCTCTGCCTGGAATAACTGCTGTTCCTGGGCTTTCCACAAGGGGGCAACCCAACCCCACAGGTCGCCCTGCACGGCCCTCCAGGCCCACAGAGAGCTGTGCATCCCCACCACGTCTATGGATGACTGGACCTCCCTCCTACCCCGTTTGTAATTAAGTCTCAGGAGAAAATCCTCTCTGGGGACAAGGACATAAAGGAGACCAAAGCCCATAGGTTTCATCGCAGGCTCCTCTGCCCGCCTCAGCCCTGCCCTCCTGGCCCTGGCTTCTCCGTGCAGCAGGAGCGCCGGGCTCCCCTCCAGCCTGGCTGGCTCTCCACGGAGTAAGGCCTCATGTGCCCGGCCTCGTCAACCCCCCGTGGCCGCAGTTGCTCTCCTGGCCCTGTGCCAAGACCGAGTGCCAGGCCCCTGCCCTGGCCTAGTCCTGGACCCCCGGGAAACCCACCCAAGGCACTGATTGGCCCTCCTGACCCCCCAGGTATGAGCTACGGGTCATCGTGTGGAACACAGACGAGGTGGTCCTGGAGGACGATGACTTCTTCACCGGGGAGAAGTCCAGCGACATTTTCGTGCGCGGGTGGGTGGGGGCTCCCGCCGGGAGGGGACGCGGTGGACAGGGGCCACTGTGTGTGGCCGGGTCTGAGCGAGCGGCGCCCAGCAGGTGGCTGAAGGGCCAGCAGGAGGACAAGCAGGACACAGACGTGCATTACCACTCCCTCACCGGGGAGGGCAACTTCAACTGGCGCTATCTATTCCCCTTCGACTACCTGGCGGCCGAGGAGAAGATCGTCATCTCCAAGAAGGAGTCCATGTTCTCGTGGGACGAGACGGAGTACAAAATCCCCGCGCGCCTCACCCTGCAGATCTGGGACGCGGACCACTTCTCTGCCGACGACTTCCTGGGTGCAGAAGCGGGCAGGGCCGGGCCGGGTCGCGGGGAACGCAGGGCTGGGGGTGCTGGCCTTGGGAGATGGGGGATGTCGACCCCACTAGTCCAGCAGAGCCAGAGCCTTGCGAGGGGCAGCGCCCCCCTCCCCCAAGAGCCCCTTTCCGTATCTGGAGCAGAAAGGGAGGGGCCGATAAGCAACCCAGGCCTCACCCTGCTCCCAAGCACTGCTCTGTCCCCGGAAGTCTGAGACCAGCAGGACACGGACAGAGGGGAACACAGCATCTGCAGGGCCGCAAACTCCGGGAGGGAAGGGCGGAGCACAGCCGGGCGCAGGGGTGGGGCGGAGAGGTGGGCGGTGGACAGCACACACTCAGCCCGGGAGGCACCCAGGCTGGGGCCCCTGCTTCCACCTCACTGCCCAGAGCTGACTCTGGGGTCGCAACAGGGGCCATTGAGCTGGACCTGAACCGGTTCCCAAGGGGCGCGAAGACGGCCAAGCAGTGCAGCATGGAGATGGCCACCGGGGAGGTGGACGTGCCGCTGGTCTCCATCTTCAAGCAGAAGCGCGTCAAAGGCTGGTGGCCCCTCCTGGCCCGCAATGAAAATGACGAGTTCGAGCTCACGGTGGGCACTGCTGCCGAGGAGGGGGCGAAACTGGCCCAGGCTGGGGTTCCAAGGGGTGGCCTGGCCCCTGAGGCCTCTGTCCTCCCCTGCAGGGCAAGGTGGAAGCCGAGCTGCATTTGCTCACAGCAGAGGAGGCCGAGAAGAACCCAGTGGGCCTGGCCCGGAATGAACCCGACCCCCTGGAGAAACCCAAGTGAGTGCTGAGCCTGCCTGGACCCCCAGCCAGTGGTTCTTGGGGCAGATCAGGAAGGAGGGTCTTCTCGCCCCACTCCCCGGGAACCCTCTCTGTCCCTTCCTGGGCTACAGCCTCACACAGGAGACCCCCTCCTGCTCCGAACCTCATGGCCTCCCTCTCCGCTGGAGAACGACCCGTCCGAACAGGGACCCCAGAAAGGCCTGGTCAGCAGCGATGCTGGGCTGGCCTAGTTTTTGCCAAAGGCAAGCAACTCCGTGGCTGCACTGGGCCCCTGACCTGGGCGCACTCGGCCTCACCGTGGCCCGCCCCAGCCCCTGCCCTCTCTCTACGCTCCCTCTGCTCCTCCCAATGCTTCAGCCGGCCCGACACAAGCTTCGTCTGGTTCTTGAACCCTCTCAAGTCTGCTCGCCACTTCCTGTGGCACACCTACCGCTGGCTGCTGCCGCCCCTGCTGCTGTTCCTCCTGTTCGCCCTCTTTCTCTACTCTGTGCCTGGCTACCTGGCCAAGAAGATCATCGGGGCCTGAGGCCCGCTGCTCCGGGGTCTGGACACAGCAACTTTCACCCGCTCAGAACAAAAGCACAGACTCTCGGAGCAAGAACTGGCTGCTTCACAGCTCCATGCACTGGGCCTGGGGGGTGAAGGGTTCACCCAAGGTCACCGGGCGGATGAGGCAGAGCAGGGACTCCAGCCTCTCTCCCAGCCGCACCACTCGCCAGCTCTAACCCAGTATTACAAGTTGAGCTGTGGACCGGGAAGAGGCTGGGGTCAGTCGGGACAGCCTGAAACCATCCCTCCCTCCAGAGGCCTGCTGCGCCCCAGGGGACAGATCAGAGCCCTGGCTATGCCTCATGGCCCCAGTTACTGACCGTGGGCGCAGCCCAGGTCCTCTGGGCACTGGGGGGGGCAGGCAGCGGGCAGCAGTTGGAAAAGCACGGTTAATACTTTAATTCTATATGTGGCTATCTTATGAAACCTGCCATTCATGTGACACAAAGCACAGATTGTAAAGCCCCTGCTGGGAAGCGCTGTAGACAGCAGAACAGGCCCGTCCCCTGGGGTGGCAGGGCGCTGAAGGCTGCTGCCCCCCAAGCTGCCTAGACCCTGGGCAGCCGGAAAGGGGAGGTGGTGCAGACTGACGGCACAGGGAGGCGCTGACCTGCTCAGTGCAAGGGCTCACTGGCCACCAGAACGTCTCCGTGCCGGGCAATGAACCGCCCCACACCAGAGGCCCACAGAGGACAGGGCTTTATGCTGCTCAGAAACGGGCTGGACCCAGGCACCAGCACTCACTGCCCCGGGGGCCAAGGCTGTGACAGGGCCCCTCGGGGACTGGAAGGACACAGGACACGTGCCCTGTGGGGTAGCTTGTGAGCAGCACCTCCCCTCCTCTGTGTCCCCAGCCGGCCCGACACCGCCTTCGTCTGGTTCCTGAACCCACTCAAGTCCATCAAGTACCTCATCTGCACCCGGTACAAGTGGCTCATCATCAAGATCGTGCTGGCGTTGCTGGGGCTGCTCATGCTGGCCCTGTTCCTCTACAGCCTTCCCGGCTACATGGTCAAGAAGCTCCTCGGGGCCTGAAGGCTCCACTCTCCCTCCTACCTCTCCAGGGCCTGCCGCGTGTGCCCTCACTGTGGCCTGGACGCTTTCCCACTACCCCAAGAGCCTGAGGAGCCCCACATCCACCCTCCAGCCTCCGGTTGGCAGCTCTTCCTGCCTCTGCGCTGCCACCCCGGGCTGCTGCCCGCCCAGTCCTGCCTCTCCGATCTTGCCTGAGGGCTGGGGAGCGTGGGAAGGGGTGGGGACCCCTCTCCCCCACACCCTACTGAGGCGCCATCCTCCTTCAAGCCCTGTTCTCCAGGGAGCTGCCCTATGCTCTCCCCTCGGGCTTTCCAGACTAGGAAGAAGGCGTTCATGAAATCAAGTCACACAGGCCAGTGTCCAGGGCTCTGAAAGAATAAACGGACAGAAGGCATCACCACCTGGTCTGCAACAATCTCAAGAGCAAAGCCCAGGCCACCATCGGCACTGAGCCAGCACCTACCCACCCACCCTGCACACACCAGCTGCTTCCCGGGCCTCCTTCCCAGCAGCCACCTGAAGGCAGGTGCTTGGTGTAGTCCCAGCCCTGCCCAGGGGTTTCTGCCACTTCCCAGGGCTTGTTCTGCCTGGGCTGGTGCCCACAAGCCCAGACGGAACCCAGAGTGCGAATCCTGAGCCCCACCCCTGCTGCAGCCTTGCACTTAGAAGGCTGCCTCCTGCCTGTGTCTGGGCTGCTGTTGGCTCTTTCTCCTTGCTTGAGTGTGATTTTTTCTCTCTCTCTCATAAAATAAATCAAACACTGAGCTGACACATCTGTGTTGGTCCTGTGAGAGGGAAGCTGTGGGGTGGGGTGCAGGTCAGCCGGCGCTCTGGGTTGATAAGCCTTTCCCAGGGTTCAAGGAAGGCCTCAAACACAGGCTGCCCCTGCCAGGGAAGAGTCCCCACAGCCCAGCGGAACCCCTGGGTTCATGCAGGGGCTCCAAAAGCACTGAAAACAATCCTTCAAGCCTGGGCACAATCTGACACTGAAGACCACACGAGCCCTGGAGTTCCAGCCTCCAACCATAGCAAACAGCTGCCCAGAACCGAGGAGAAAGCCCAAAGCTGCTGGCCTCCACCCTGTCACACAGCCCATCTGAGCCCAGGCACAAGGTCTCTTGGGGTACACAGGTAGGGGCAGGGTTACTGTGTCACCAGACACAGCCTCCTTCAAGAGACCGCCACCGCTTCCAGAAGACTTTAATGGGGGCTACTGGAGACAGGCAACTTCTCTGGCTGCCTTCTTCCGACAGGCCCATAACAACAGCTCTGGAAACCCAGGCTGGGCCTGGGCCCCAGCTCCCGCCCAGCACCAGCCCGAGTACACCAGCCACTTCAGCCACAGGTCCACCTCTATTTGGTGGGCACACGGAACACCTGAGTCAGAGGAACTTGCAGTTCAGAGTTTATCTGGAAAAGAAGGTGTGAAGGTTACTTCCTGTCCCCCAGGTCCTCTTCCTCTTGCCCCCCTCAGGGGGGATCAAGTACATATACAACCCCCCCACAGCTTATAAACCCCTGCAAGCATTTCCTCTCCAGAGCCAAATGGCACCCCTGGGCCTGAAAGCTACCTGCCTTCCTTCTGAGGCCAACATAGCACTTCCTGTGTAGCCTGGACTCTGAGAGCAGCCTGGGGTGGTGGGGCGCTAGTCGCAGGCACCTCACCCATGCGCGGCTGGTGACTGTGTGCTATGTGCTCTTCCTAGCCATGAGCTCAGCACGTGTGCAGGATCCCACACCAGCCAAGGAGAGCACACAGCTGTCACAGAAGGACCTTCCTTCCTGCTCCGGCCTGGCCGGGGGGAAACTGCTACAACTGTGGCTGGAGGAGGCAACACTGGAGGAGGCAACACTGGAGGAGGCCACACTGGGGGCCAGGGTATATTTGCCCCGGTCTCTCATCACAGACCAAGGAAGCTGGCTGGCAGGCCTCACCAGGTCTCTGAGCTTCGCTTCTCCTTTGCACAAAAGAGAACAGTCTCTCACACGGGGGTTGTTCGGATCAAGGAAGAAAATAAATACGGGTCCCAACGGGAGTGGTACGAAAACCATGGGCATCAAAGGGACAAGGTTACAGCCCAGCTGCCTCGGAAGGATCTTCAGGCAGTGACCTTGCTGGTGACCATCACTGCCTTGCCAGTGACTGTTCCCACCTGAGGGGAGATGTTGGCTCTGCACCCCATCTCCACCCGTGAGGAAGGGGCCCCTCGGCCACACGCAGCCACGATCCCGTGTGCCCTGCTGCCCACCTTGGAGTGGAGATACTGCTTCAGGAGAGACTGCAGCTCAGCATTCTGCTGCTCCAGGGACTCGTTTTCCACCAGCAGCTTGGCCCGCTGGGTCAGGACGAGGCTTTGGGTGGGAAAACAGGTTAGAGGCCAACTGAACCCAACAACTGCCAAGCAGGGGACCAGGATCTGTGAGCTCTTGCTCTGGCTGGGGTAGAGGAAGAACCCGGAAGCTTGGCCTTCCCCCCAGGCCATGGGGAACAGGGTGGGGAAGGCATGGTCTGCCCCCACCCCACAAGGCAGCTCTGCCTGCAAGACTGCACAGGGCAGGATGGGACAGTGAAAGGCACTGCACCCGGCTCCCTTCTCCCATGACACACTCACTAGTATCGCTCCAGGGCTGCGTAGAGCATGTCCCACAGGTTCTGCCTGGCTGGTGGGATGACCGTGGTCAGGGCCTCCCAGTACTCCGAGTCCTTTGAGTCATCTCGTACATCCTTCCCCACTGTCCGCGGTGCCCGGAAGTTCCTGAAGGGCAAGAGCACTGGTGTCACAACCTCCACCTGACACCCCGGGTCCCCAAACAGTGCCAGGCTCGGTCTTCAAGTCAGCCACGGACGTAGAGCCTCTCCAACTACCAAATTCCCACTCGGCTGTCCAAGGCTATTAGATCGTGGCAGATGCTTAGAAAGCTTGCCTTTACTGTCCATGTTCCTCTCGGGCCATGTGTCACCTGTGTAGCACACTGTTGGAGTTTCGCCCACAACCTTGCCCCATCAGCTTACCTTGGTGGCTTCGCAGCTCATTACCACTTCCCTTGCTTCCTGAGTACATCCAAAGCAGCTGTGGGATGCTGCCCCCTTCTCCCATTCCCTCTAGGATACCCTTAACCCTCCCCCCGACAAGCCTCTTGCTCGATCTCCCTGTAGCCAGCACCGCTCCCTTCCCTGCCCTCAAAGAGATTCTTCTAAAATGCAAGTTCAGTCATGGCTCCTCTGCCCTTGAAAATCTTCTCCTGGCTCCAGCCACCAGGGCAAAGATCACAGGCAGACAGGGCAGAGTCTCCGAGACCTGAGCTGGTCCCCGCCCACGGGTCCTACCTCCCAGACCCGTGACACCGCGGCCACCCCTCCTGTCGTGATTCTTGAACACATCAAGAATTCCCCTGAGCTGTCATGTCTGGAAAAGCCCTTTCCCCACCTAGGAACGCTCAGTTCCTGTGCCACGTCCTCCCTGCACCCTCGCTGACGGCTCAGGGGAGGCGGCACTTCCTCTGCATCCCGTTACAGCACCGCTCGTCATGCACGCTTCCACCATTGCCCTGACCGCAAGGTGCTCTCTTCACGGCGCCTGCGCACGGCGGACCTTAATAAACGTTTGCTCAATGAACGAACGAATGATGAGCAAAAAAGGTGCAAATCGCTCCTGCGCCTCATTCCCTTCAGGGCCCTGCCCCTCCGTTTCCCAAAGTCGTGCCCAGCCGCCTCTCCTCCAGTCACTGGGCTCCGCGCGGCCCCAGCCCTCCACCCGCAGCCCAGGCTCAGGCAAGCTGTCCGGCCCCATGGCACACCTGGGCTTCCTCAGACCCATGACGAAGGCCTGCAGAGCCTTGAGGACGTCATTGGGGTGGATGAGCCTGGGAGAAGCCGGGGCTGCCCGCTCCTCCTGCTCCCCGCCAGCTCCGTCCTCCAGCCAGGTCTCTGCTGCCTCCGACCCAGGCGCCAGGCTGGCTCTTGGGACGGCAGATGAGAGGCTGCTTTGCTCCACCCCTGACACAAGGCTTGACCGCTCCGTGTCTGCGCCATCCCTGGGGTTCACCTGGAGAAAGGTACAAGGATAACCAGGTAGGGAGCACCGAGCATGAGCACGGGGAGGGAAGACAGGAAGGGAGGGAAACGGAGTTTACAGAAAGTTCCGGAGAACTTGCGCAGGGAGCTTCCTACACCAGGACGAAACAGAAAAGGGAAGTGGTGGGAGGGGCGGGGGTGGCTCCCAAATAAGGACCACGCTCTGACCCCAGGTGCCAGGTGTTCACGGGCTGACACAAGGTCACGAAGCTTACCAGCTATAAATGTCCCTTTGACTTTTGCCCTAAGAATTCGTTTTAATTTTTAAATTTTAAAAGTCTTCTATTTCCCAATTTATTACATTTAGCTCCCCCAGGCAAATTAAATGTTATCAAGTTTCCTGTATATTCTTCCAAAGAAAGTGTCTGTATGAGCAAATACATATAGAAATACTTTTCCTTCCCAATGTTAACTAAACGGTTCTACTCTACAGTGCAGTCCTGCACTTTTCCGCTTACGGATTTTGTATATAAATACACAAAGACCCACCTTTTTTGTTTGTACAATCACATATTATTCCAGGTGTCCAAAAGCATTATCTATTATTAAATAAATTCCTCAGTAGTGGACAATTAGTTGTTTCCAACATTCTCTTTAAAAAGCCACCCGAAACACATCATTTCAATCATACTGAGGTTTCTACAGAATAAAATCCTACAACGATGAAGCATACACTGCTTTGCAATTACACTGTTAGAGTGCTCCTATGTGAGGTGACAGTACAATGCTCTGTCAAAGGTTTAGATTTCTACCCACTTGAGAGGTAAACTGGAATTCAGGCGATTTTGATCTGCATGTCTCATATTACAAGGAAGTCTAATTATCTTTTCTTTTCTTTTTTGGTACCGGGGATTGAACTGTTGAACTCGGGTCCTTGCACTTGCAAGGCAGGCAGCGGAACCACTGAGCTAAATGCCCGGCCCATCTTTTCATATGTTTTCAAAGTTACCTGTGCTACTTCTTCTAGGAGCTTTTCCTTCAGCCTACTATCTGTTCCACTGAGCTGTTGATCTTTTTTCCTATTGGTTTATGAGGGCTCTTTTAGATTTTAGGGAAACTGACCCTTAACTGTGATATAAGTTGAAACTATTTTTCCCCAGTTATTATTCCTCTCTTAACTTTGCTGATGGTAACTTTTGCCCTAAGAATTTGTTTTATTGTACTCAGAGGTATGTTTTCTTTTCCTTATGGATTTTCAGTTTTGTTCATTCAGCCAACTCTTTTGGAGGCCTTTCAGGACACTCGCCCTGGGGGGGGGTAGAAATAATACATACATTTTTTAATTCAAATTCTCAATTTTAAAATTAAGGTGTTATAATTTTTAATATGATGACTTCTTCAGAACAGATGCTATTTGATTTTCTTACTGAAATCAGTTACAAGATAGATTAAGTAGTACAAATGAGCTGTGCTTTTCAGAAAGTGTTAAGAATCAAAATACACAGAACATGGAGGGCCCGGGTCTCCTGAAGGGCCAGATAAAGATCCCTTGGGCATCAATGGGACAACGGCATCTCACCCCACTCCACCCCACTCCACCCCCACCCCCACCATTCTCTGCTTTGCAGATAGAAGATAGAATGTAGTACAAATGAGCTGTGCTTTTCAGAAAGTGTTAAGAATCAAATTACACAGAACATGGAGGGCCCGGGTCTCCTGAAGGGCCAGATAAAGATCCCTTGGGCATCAATGGGACAACGGCATCTCACCCCCCAACTCTCCCTAACATAACAGCCTCCTCACTTCCCCAGGATTATTCAAAGGCAGCAGTGCCCTCGGGGAGCTTCAGGAGAACTGAAAACGCGCCTTGCACCTCATCTCACCTGGCTGGAAGATCCGTGGTGGGCTTGGTATTTGAGGAAGAAGTTCACCAGTTTGTATAAGTCATCCTCATTTTCGATTCCAAGGGCCTGGGGAAAGCAAGATGGCTGCTCAGGCAGTCAGAGAGGCCACAGACTGGGGGACTAAAGGGTCTCAGCTCCCTGGAGCTTAGGCCTTCCTGGAGCCTGCCGCAGCTCAGAGTACAGGGCCCTGGCTCAGCGCCTGGAAGCCACAATGAAACTGGGGACATCAGAACAGAGAGATGCAAAAGTCAGGAGCAGCCCCACACAGATCTTTGGAGCATGAGAGTGCTGAAGGGAGAGTTCAAAAACATATGGTATGAGTGTTTGGGGGAGAACTAACAACCCAAGGGCCTGGCCATGCAAGAGAGAAGCCAGAGAGAAGGGTCACAGATGGGAAACATCTAAGTGATGTTAAGGACAATTCCCTTTTTGAGAGCAAGTTAAGGAAGGCCATGATGGTGAGCCCAGGAAAATTCCAGATGACCCTCTACTGTCAGGGTGGAGACAAAGCAGGAAGAGAGAGATAGGCCTCACTCTCCCTGCCCTGCCCCATGTCCTCTCCACCCAGTAGGACTCACTGAGAAGATGGCGTCCAACCTCAGCAGATAGCACTCGGTCTTCTCCAGCGGAAGGAGAAGGCTCAGCAACTTGCTCTCTATGAGGAAACCCTGAGGAGAAGGAAGAGGCATCTCCAGTCGGAGGCAGGCTCCAGAACGAGGCCAAGGGTCTGCAGCCACCCCGTGTGACTCTCCAGGGACAATGCCATAGAGCAGAACTCCTAGGTGAAACTTTGGCCCCGGAGGAAGGACCCCCAGGGGATGCCTAGGAACCGGTCCAGTGAACAAGGCCAGGGACAAAGCCAATCTCCACCTCGCCCACAGCCGCAGGTCAGACAGCAGTCTCCACGGCAGTCCAAACCAGACCGAGCCACTGCTGCCCACTTCATCATGTCCCCAAACAGCTACGGGACCCAGCAGGAGGCCCTGAGGGGAGAAGACGGCTCGGGACACGCACCATGTCAGGACACAGTGCCCAGCAAACAGATGGGGACAGGGCGGAGAAGACGAGGCCTGCACTGAGCTGGGGAGGGCAGGAAGCCTCCGTGCTGATGCGGCCAGGGCATCAAGCACGCACACAGAGGGAGGACCCACCACCCTCAGTGGGCCAGCCTTTGCAGTGAAGACCGCCACAACTATTGCAAGGGCTCGGAGGCTGCTAGCCTTGCTCCACCTCGTCATCCACCGCAGAACCATGACACCTAAAGAACACTGACCATGTTTGGTAATGGCCTGAGGTCCAGCAAAACCAGCTCCAACACAACATTTAATTTTGTAAGATTAATACTTTGCACTTTTTTTCCTCTTTGTGGTACTGGGACTGAACCCAAGGAATGCCAAGCAATTCCTTCGGCTGTTTATTTTGACGTAGAGTCTCGCTAAATTGCCGAAGTTGGCCGCAAATTTGCAATCCTCCTGCCTCAGCCTCCTGACTAGCTATGATTACGGGCCTGTGCCACCACACTTGGCCTAATCCTTTTTGCCAAGACACAAGGCAGATACCCAACACCCAACATATCCAGAAGAACTTCAGATCAAGCCCCCAGAGAAAGGCTGAGGCAGCTGGAAGAGCTGAGACAAGTGCAGAGGGACATTGTATCCAGTCAACAGAAGCCACCCACTCGCCTGCACTAGGCCCCATGGGGCTGTGCCGCTCGGGGAGGAGCCATCGCCAGCCGGGCCACTCCGAGGCACAGCCTCCCTGTGACTCACCCCCCAGGTGCAGGCTGACCCCAGCTTCGCTCCTCAGGCCCCTCCCGTGCTGCGCGGGGTGTGTCAATGCTGGCTTGGGCCACACCAGGCCTAGCAGAAACCTCAGAAACATTCCAAGCACCTCACCGACTCATCACACAGAAGCATCAGGATCTTTTTGGTAGTTTTTGCAGAAATTTGCTTGGGCAGGTCCAGGTACGACTCTGAATGTGAGACAGCCTCTTCTGCCTCCTCCTCTTCTGCAGATAGGTCATGGGGGGCAAAGATGGAAAGAAAGAAAAAGAAGGGCCAGGAATTTAGCTCAGTGGTGCCACCGCCTGCCTCACAAATGCAAGGTTCTGAGTTCGATCTCTGGTACCAAAAAAAAAGAAAAAGAAGATAAGTTATTGGCCTCGGTGACTTTGAGCAATAGTCAGATGGCTTCAGAGGAGCTTTAAGAAGACAGCATTTACCAGTCACACTGTCTGCTGAAGGAAGCCTGTGACGGGGAGAACAAGGGCTTAGGGCCCAGAATCAGAGACTCTCTTGAGAATCAGTCGCTCCTGGCCAGCCTGACTCCCCACTTTCCCAAACTGCATCTGTCTGACGGCCACGCTCAAAATCCAGCCATGAACCAGGGACCAGGAGGGGCAGTGCGAGTCTCTTTGCTTTTACTGTGGAGATGATCTAGCCAGCTTGCCGCATGTTTCCATCCCCGCAGGGATTAGAAGCAGCTAACCGGAAAGCGTAGAAGTGACTTCCACATAAAGAAATGGTATCAGCCAGAACTGACAGCTGCTGGCAGGAGCAGAAATTTTTCTTAATTAAAATATAAAAATTTAAAAATGTTTTATCCTGCACATTGCTCCTCAGAGAATGGGAATAAAAATCACATGTACTGAGATTTTACTGGTGATTCAAAAGGTAAGATAAATGTCTATGAAAAGAACAAGGTATCAGGTCGATGGAGGGAGGCAAAATGCGGTCATCTCAGTGCAGCAAGAGCAACAAAATGACACAGGCATCCGCCCTTCGATCCAGCGGTCCTCTTCTACCCATCAATCACAACAATTCAACAGCAAAAAGATGGGAAGGCAAATGAACAATGTTTATAATCACAAAAACCAAACTTTTAAAAACTACCCCAGTGATGATCTACAGAGGACCACGTGAATAATCGTGGCACAGACATGTGGTAGAGTCCCATACGAGAACAGAACAGCAAGTCTTCCTTTTCATGCCAGTAAAACGATCTCCAGGAATATTGTAAGTGAAGACAGCAAGGCAGGAAAAAGTATGATTTCACTCACCTAAAAAAGTGATTGACACATACACATATGTTTATAATGTATATGTTATACACAAATTATATATTATATACATGGTGTATATAATATATGATAATATTGTGTATTTATATATAACACATACTATAGTATACACAGTAATACATAATATATAATACATAACACATAGTGTTTTATATACAATATTGTATTATTTATTATACACAATATATTATTGTATATAATGTTTATAATGTATAAATATGTTTATAATTTTTTAAAGCAAAGGAAGAATAAACTATAATTATTTCATATTTATCTATAGGAGAGGGATGAAAGAGTTAAGAAAGTAAATAAAAGATAAATTACTTTGGATATACCTTGATTTTTATTGTTTTGGGGGGATTGGGGGGTTACTAGGGATCGAACTCAGAACCTTGAGCTTACAAGGCAGGCTGCGGCACCACTGATCTAAATCCCCAGCCCTGTACCTTGATTTTTACATTTTACTCTGCAAACATAAGTATTTCAGGTAAATAAAAAGCAAAACCAAGTAAAAGTGATCCCCAGTGACCAAAAGTAAAATGTAGCAAGAAACCTGAATGTGTATCCAACTGGTAACATAACCCAGGCAGAAAGTATTGCAAGTGACTATATAAAGCAGTTACCCATCTATACATCTGAAGGGGGATATGTTTTAAGAACAAAAAGGAAAGAACAACAGCAACAACAAAAAGACAGAAAGATATAAACTATGTGTAGCAATCATTTTTGGTAGACATTTTCTTCTAAGACTGTTCCGTGGTACTGTGGGGAAAGAAATTACTTTGGAGTCATTGGCATGACCTTTTCAAGTTAGAAGACATGCTTTATTGAGGTCGAGTAAAACTCCTGGATCCTGTTAATTAGGAAATAATAGAATGAATTTGTTACTTATCTGATCATTAAAAAATAACCCTCTACCCTTGCTCTGTCCACTGAAAAGAGTTAGAAACAACAGCCAGTCCAAAGCAACGAGCTCCTAACACCCTGAGTGTGAATCCAAAATACCACTTCCCATTGAAAAGAACCAAATGTCCTTAGAGAAATGGCCGATTCCAGACTGGAGGCGGGAAAGCATAGCGTGGTCCTGGAACATCTGATTGTTCTGGACAGCTGGAGGCTACCAATGATGGCTGGGTCTGTGTCAAAGGGACCCAGACACCAACACGAAGTGTGTCCCATTGGTCACCAATGTGACCACATGGTCATCAGTATGCACAGTAACTGCAGTAAACCAAAACCTTATAGTTTGTTTTAATTCATGTGGCCATGACGATAATAACAATTAAAACAACAACTCATTGATACCTTTGGAAGGTGCTACAGACCCAATCCATTCCACTGAAAAGTGGTAAAGAAAACACATAAGCATCTATCCTGCTTTCTACACAAACTATATCAGGGTAGCAAATGGCTGGTGAAGGGAAGAGTCTTTGCAGAAATGTTCTAGTTAACAAATGAAGACATAGTGATAGAATTCTTAGCATCACTTCTTAGTGACCCCAGTTTCATTAATGGTTCTTTAAAAATGAGTGTCAATATTTGCTACCATTCCAAAAAGAGAGGAACTGACACTGGGCTGTTGTGATGAAGACACATTAGAGTGCACTTAGCAACAATAAATTAACCTGCATTGGTTTGGGCTTCTAAGTCTCAGGACAGATACAGAATACAGGGGAAGGGTGTGAAATCACTGGGCACACTCAACACTCCTAGGCCTCATCTTCCTTAGCTGTAAGGTGGACAGAGACCCCTCCACTCTAAGGCTCTGGTCACCTGTTTGCCTTAGCACTTCCTCTACTATCTGGGTGGCAGACTTCTGCGGCTGCTGGGAAATGGGCCCCACATTGTTCAGGAACCAGAAGTCAGGCGCTGTCCAGGGGAGCCCCAGATGCTGGGTGTAGATGATCCTGTCCACATCCAAGGCTTTGGCTATGAGTCCCTTCGCCTCCTCTTCATTCATCAGCCAAATCTCCCGAAACTTCTCATTGTCAATGAGAGCAAAATGCCTGTGAAGGAGAAGTCACCGAGAGCGGCCAGCTGACCGCAAGGCCTAGCCACGGTCCCCTCCGGGAAGCAGAGCCAGAGCAAGAGGAAGAACCATGGTAAATCCAGGACCTGGCCCAATCCCTGGGCAGCCTCCCCTCTTGATGAAATAGAAGCCATCCCAACAAGAGGCCAGAACAAGCAGGGGACACCCGAGGGGAGAGAGAGAAGGAATCAGCACAGAAGATTCTTCACGGCCTGGGCAAACTCCAGAGAAGCTAGTGAGATGGAGGCAAACAAGCCTACTGCCACCAGGCTGCGCTCCACTCTCTCTCCCACCCATGTCACCCACCTCTAGCCCAGGACCCAAGTCCCTAAAATACCTCATGGATTTCTGTAGCTCCTTGAACTGCATCACGAGACGTTTGTAGTCTGCAGTCAGAGACTGATTCTCCTCCTGAAACTGCTTTATCTGCTTCGTGTATTTTGATCTCAGGTTGTTAAGTATATCATGCAGGCTGGTTGGAGGGGGAAAATAGTGAATTCACAGCCGACTAGAAGGTATAAACAGTGCTTCTTTCGCCCACCTGGCAGCTCCACAACAAACCCAGAGTCACTGGGTTTCAGCTGCGGAGGGGAAGAAACCCTTCCCACCCATTTAAAATAGTCCAGGCCCAGGAAGAGGGGGGCCCTGCTCAGGGTGTGACTGAGCCTTCCACATGCCACCATCAGGGTATCTACCTCAGCCCAACCAGGCATAGTTAAATAATTTATTGCAAGTCTTTCAGGGTCATGATCTGGATGTTCATTTCAACTCTGAAACAAGGAAAAACTATACACTGCAAGCCTATGATATATGAATCCTCCATCCTCCAAGAGCTAATATTGTTAACAGGTCCAGTAAGCCATTAATTCACTCACTTATTCATTCATCCAGCATGAAATGCTTCTTTTGAGCAAAAGACTTGTTTGATTACAAAGATGAACACAAGGATATTTTCTCAAACAAGGCACTGTCCGTCCAGTCGGAGAAAAAGAAGAACATTAATAACAGTGAAGAGTGAAAAGTACAATGGGATAGATTAGAAGATGCAGAAACAACTCCAGACATAGTCAGCTACCTCATCCTTGACAGAGGAGCCAACCATCCTCACTGGAGGAAAGACAGCCTCTTTAATAAATGGTGTTGGAAAAATTGGATTTCAACTTGCCAAAGATTAAAACTAGATCCCTATTGTCCTTCAACCATGCACTAAACTGAAATCCAAGTGGATTAAAGATATAAACATTAAAACAGCAACACTAAACTTACTGGAAAGTAAATTAGAACTCTCAAAGACATTGGAATAGGAGAAGACTTTATGAACAAATCCTTAGCAGCACAAGAATTTGCACAAAGCATAAACAATTGGGATCTCATTGTATTAAAAAGTTTTGGCAGTATAAGAGAAATCACCAATAGAACTAAGAGACAACCTACAACATGGAAAAAAATTTTACCAGCTGTTCCTCAAAGGACTACTAACACAAATATATAAAGAACTCAAAAAAATCAGATCCCCCAAATGCAAAGACTCAATTCAAAAATGGGCATCTGAAATGAACAGACATTTCTCAGACAAAGAAGTAAAAACAACAAATAAATATATGAAAAAATGTTCCACATCACTGGTCATTTGAGAGATGCAGATGAAAACAACACCGAGATTCCACCTCATCCCAGAAAGAATGGCTGCTATCAAGAAATCAACCAATAACAAATGTTGGCGGGGCTATGGGGAGAAAGGAACCCTTCTCCATTGTTAGTGGGAGTGCAGACTGGTGCAACCACTGTGGAAATCAACATGGAGATACCTCAAAGAACTAGGATTAGAGGTTCCATTTGACCCAGCTATCCCACTGCTGCTATCTTTCCAAAAGAATTAAAAGAATCAAACCACAGTGATATATGTGCACCAATATTTAGAGCAGCACAGTTCGTAATAGCTAAAACTTGGAAACAACCCAAACGCCCATCAACTGGAGACTGGATAAAGAAGATGTGGTTTGTCTATAAAATGGAGTACTACTCAGCCATAAAGAATGAGAAACTAGAAACATTTATAGCAAAATGGATGCACATTGAGGCCATACTCTTAAGTGAAATAAATAGGACACACTTGAGTAAATACCGAATAGTGTCTCTGGTGTGAAAAACTAAAAGTGTAAATAAGGTTCAAATGGTATAGCTGGGGGTGTAGAATAGGAAGAAAATGGCTATAGGGGAAGTGGGAAAGGGAGGGGAAAGGAAATAAGGGAAAAGAAAAAATGTGAAAAGATGAAAAAATGGAAACAAAGTCTTTGTAAATAGGGGAGGGTGGAGGGGCTGAAGGGAGAACAGGGTATGGGGAAAAACAAGAACCAAGATACATCATGTAAAGGTACAAGACCCCAATGATAAATGCTAACTGTATTGTTTCCTTTAAATGTACCAATAAACTTAATGGAAAAAAATTAAAAACTGAAAAAAAATTAAAAAAGAAAAGTGCCATGGGACAACAGGGTGCCAGGGAGCCCAGAGATGAGGCACTGACCTACCCAGGCTTGTGGAGAGGAGAGGCCCGAAGCTCTCTGGAACAGCCAGGGACAGTTACTAAATGGCCAACAGTGCTGTTAACCCCAAATAAGGCTGGGGATGTAACTCAGGGGTGAAGAGTTCGCCTAAGTGCTCACCTAGAATGCAGGCGGCTCTCTCTATGTTCAATTTCCAGTGCCACAAAGAAAGTGGGGAGGGAGAGAGAGAGAGGAAGGAGGGAGGGCAAGGTGGGGAGAGGAAGGAAGGAGGGAAGACGCAAAGGAAGGTCAGTTGATTCTAAACAATAAAAATTCACCTCTCCTAAGCATTGTTTGATTTCTGAAAAATTTTAAATTAGTCTCTGACAAAGAAAAATGTCCATTTTCTTACATGTAGCACTGTAGAAGGCTTTCAAAATGTAGGTAAAGTGTAAAATTCTGGATGGCATTTCCAGAAAATTTTAGAAGGCTTCCAAGTACAGATATAAAACAATGTTTTAAAGCAGTAAAAAAAAATAAATAAATAGGTAAAGCAGCAGCCAGGGATTTAGCTCAGTGGCGCTCTGCCTTCCTGGCAAGCACAAGGTCCCAAGTTTGATTCCCAGTACAGACAGAGAGTCAGAGTCATCCTATATACCTTGAGACCATAATGTTAAGTGAAATAAGTAAGGCACACAGGCTTGAATATTGCTTGGTTTCTCATTTATGAAAAGCCCAATATATAAATAAAGTGCAAAATAAAAGACAATAAGAAAAATGGGGAGAGAAAAAAAATGTTATTGAAAGCCAGCTTGGACAATGTATCTAAAAGCATGCTTTGATTTCATATGAATGTCTTATCTGTTTTTCATATTTTTTGGCCTGTTGGCCTGGCTATTAGTCTGTACTTATGATAACTAGACAAGGACTTATAAAATAAATAAATGCCATGCTGGGAAAAAAATTTTTTAAGTTGGAGTGGAGAGCTGGGGGGAAATAATTGAGATTATTCCCCACAATGAATGTAATCACTGTGTGCTGCAAACAGTACTGATAAACAAATTTTAAAAGCAGTCATCCCAAATGCCTTTTGCAATGTCATGCAGTCAAGGAGTTTCTGTCATCTAATTATGGAAGCTAACACAATAAAAATGAATAACAGGGACATACTGAAGGGAACAAGAGGGATTAGACGTGACAGAGTGGCTACAAGAGGAGTTTGAACGAAAGTCCAGTTTCTTAGTGACTGGCTAGCAGCCAGAGGCACAGGGAGTGAGGCAGGAGAGCTGAGAACCCGGCAGTGCTTGCGGAATTGCACGACAGTGATTCTTCTAAGTTGAACTGTCACGGTGGCAGTTTCACATAAAGCAAAAAGGTGAGGTCAAGATTAGAGATACGAGATTGGCATCAAGAGACTGATGATCGTGGTAGATAGACTAAAAATAAAAAGCAAAGAGGAAAAGGAAGGTGTGTGCTGTCTAGAATTCGTATCTAGATATTCCAGAAATATCAGGCAAGAAAAAGCAGAACCATCAAAGGAAAGAGATAATAACTAAATTAAGAAGGAAAAACAAGTACTTCAGGTTCAAAAAAACCCAAGAAAGTAAGTTCAGTATGCAATTAAAATAGGATGAAGTCTGAGGAAAATCTATCGTGTTTGGCCAGTAGGGCATCACTGGTCTATTGTTGGGAGTTTCTGCCCACTGCAGGGGGTCATAGGTTGCTACAGTGTGAATGTGTCCCCTCCGAAACACAGGTGTCGCCGTAGTGATAGTGCTAAGAAGTGAGGACCTTTCCAGGCAACATTATCCAAGCCTTCTGGGACTCACATCTCACCACAACTTGCCCCGGGGGTGGGATGTGGAGCTCAGGGTTTAACGTTTGCGCTGCTAAGGTTTCGGTCTCTTTCCTCTTTATCCCCTATTCCTCCCTTTTGGAATGGGAATCTTTGCTCTATGCCAGTGAGGGCAACCCTTTCAGAGACAGAATGCCCAAACTGAAACCCCAAACCCACGCATGTGTCACAAAGTGCCAGCACTGCAATACGAAAGTTTTAGTTCAGAAAAAAACAGCTGTGCTCCATGCTCGGCTGCTGGGGTGGCTTGGTTCTCATGCTGACATAGACAGCCCGGCATGCCCACCGCAGCATGAGTGCCACAGCTCTGCCACTGCTGTGCTATGCCACTGTATGTAGGAAGTGTTTCATTCTTTTTTATTTTTATGGGGCTCCCACCTGAGAGTTTGCCTTGAGTCTCAAAGAAGCCCTTGGACTTGGACTTTTCAGCAAAGCTGAAACAGTTAAGACTTTGACAAGTCACATTTTTCACAATGAGGCGGCGAGCCTTCCAGGGACCAGGGGCAGAATGATATGGTTTAGATCTGAAGTGTCCCCCGAAAGTTTCATTTTATTCCGAAGTGGATCATGAGGACACTATATTCATCAGTGTATGAACCCAGTGATGAATTAAAGGCTAAATGTGCTGTTAGAAGGTGGAGGCCAGGAGTGGTGATGCACACCCGTAACCCCAGCACTTGGGATGCTGAGGGAGGAGGATCGCTGTGAGTTCAAGGCCAGCCTGAGCTACACAGTGAGATGGAGGAGGGGGGGGAGGGGAGGGGG